CTAACACAACCAAGCAAAATTCTATTGTTACCAATAATGACCTTGACCTCTGTTGGACTGTGAAAAATCAATAGGGAATTTTGCTTCCACAAGGGCAACCTACACACCAAGTTTGAACTTTGAATGATCTGAATTCTGAAGTCCTCATTTGGACAAGTTCTACAGATAGACGGACACCCGGCTTTATAGTTATATCCCTACAAATATTATTTCACGGGCCATAAAAAGGGCACAACCCCATAAAATTGGCCGGAACAAAGTATTAATTCCATCTGCACAATTTCAGAATGTGTTGATTACATAAATGAAATTTCATGAAATTTGGCTGAAACTGGCAAAAACAATGCAAACATGAGTAAACTGAGGTTTATCTTTAATAAAACTGGATGATAATGCATGCATCACCAATCACAAGTAACATTTACAAGTTAAAAGGTACCTTCTATTTCTACCTCATTTGCAACACATATTACTTTTGGATTACTGAGGATTTTTTTTTTTTATTTCTGAATAAATTGAATGAAAATGATTTGTAATTAATTCTGATTAAGAGTTAAATGTCCCTGAAAATTTTCTCAAGAATTTTATTGAGCTATGAGTTTTAAAAAAGATAACATGTATTTTATGAAAAAAATTCCCCAAAAACTCCCAAAATACCTTAGTTGCAGAGAAACATTGAATGTGTACTAGTGTGAACTACATGCACATTGTATCTTAATATGAGAAAATTGAAGGTATTCTGTGTAATAGTACAAGTTGTCATGTTAGTTAAATCACAATCCATGGAAGGACATATACCAATATCTTGTTACAGGAGTTAATGGATTCCATGTAGTTAAGATTCGTTAATCCAGCTGCCACTAATCGGGTTGACCCAATGTCTAGTAGGGACAGTGACATGTAAACACAGCTTAGCCAGTTAGACACAGAAGCTGGCTGGATTACCGAGTCTCCACTGTATTTCTATGGGACTCTTTACAAAATTCCAGTGTCTTTGCACCACCACAATCTCAAAATATTTACTTTTTCAGAATGATGAAATATTTAGAGAAATGCCAGTGTATACCATTGTTATGGTTTGGAGAACCTAGTAAACATAACAGTCTACAGTCATCAAATACCAGTAAATTGTTAACTTTAATGAAAGTTTTTATGGGCAAACCTGAAATGTGCTAATAGAATTAGAACATTTATTGTGTCTAACTATAATGTAATTATTATGTACCTTTATAGCACAATGTGCATTTTTTCACATATTGGGAATAGAAAAAAATGATTATCAACTCCATGACGGCAGCAGTGGAGACCTCCAATTATTAGTTCAATAAAACAGTGCACACACAACACCAGGACTATATTTTAAATAAATACCATTCTCACGTAACTTCCACACTATAACCATCATTCCCTCTGTAGGCCACTAACAGGAAGATTTGGCTGAGAAGTATTCTACTCCAGCACTAAATCACACGGCCAGACGCTGAGTTTCTTATTAGCTCCTTGGTGGTAACTACTTCAGAAAAAAAAGTCTTATCACGTAGCCCTTGAATCCTTTCAGGTATCACATGATCCCTGTGACCCATGTAGACTATCACATGACTCTAGACTCCTTTCAGGTATCACATGATCCCTGTGACCCATGTAGACTATCACATGACCCTAGACTCCTTTCAGGTATCACATGATCCCTGTGACCCATGTAGACTATCACATGACCCTTGACTACTTTCAGGTATCACATGATCCCTGTGACCCATGTAGACTATCACATGACCCTAGACTCCTTTCAGGTATCACATGATCCCTGTGACCCATGTAGACTATCACATGACCCTAGACTCCTTTCAGGTATCACATGATCCCTGTGACCCATGTAGACTATCACATGACCCTAGACTCCTTTCAGGTATCACATGATCCCTGTGACCCATGTAGACTATCACATGACCCTAGACTCCTTTCAGGTATCACATGATCCCTGTGACCCATGTAGACTATCACATGACCCTAGACTCCTTTCAGGTATCACATGATCCCTGTGACCCATGTAGACTATCACATGACCCTAGACTCCTTTCAGGTATCACATGATCCCTGTGACCCATGTAGACTATCACATGACCCTAGACTCCTTTCAGGTATCACATGATCCCTGTGACCCATGTAGACTATCACATGACCCTAGACTCCTTTCAGGTATCACATGATCCCTGTGACCCATGTAGACTATCACATGACCCTAGACTCCTTTCAGGTATCACATGATCCCTGTGACCCATGTAGACTATCACATGACCCTAGACTCCTTTCAGGTATCACATGATCCCTGTGACCCATGTAGACTATCACACGACCCTATATATATAGCTAGACTCCTTACAGCTATCACATGATTCCTGTTTACAAATATCTTATGACTATCACAGGACTCACGTAGACTATCACATGACTCCTGTTTAATGTTATCACATGACTCCTGTTTAAAGTTATCACATGACCCCTGTTTAAAGTTATCACATGACCTCTGTTGACAGGTAGCACATGACCCCTGTTTACAGGAAGCACATGATCCCTATTTACAGGTATCAAATGACCCTTGTTTAAAGTTATCACATGACTCCTGTTGACAGGTAGCACATGACTTGTGTAGCATAGACTCATTTGTCACATGATCTCTGTTTACAGGTATCACATGACACGGACACTTGGGCCCCTTTCAGGTATCCTGTTCAACTGTTTCAACCAGCAGAACCTGAAAAGAAAATGACAGGCTCAGATCTGAACTGAGGCTGACCTTAGGAATATAAGACACATGCATATCAAGGGGTCCAGATGTGCCTGACCGAAACTAAAATGCTGACTATTGCTAATTTGCATTATTTTTCTTGAAACAATGTTGATTTACATGTATGTTTTAGAATCTTATCTATAATTTAGTGGACCCGTGAAAGGACATTATTTTCTTGTTTTTTTCAGCTCTACAGTTCAGTCCAAATGAGTTTGTTTGTCGTAGAGTATTTGTGTCACCTGGAATACGCAAATGCAACCATGCTGACAGAATAATGTATCACATGACCCATGTAGACTATCACATGACACATGTAGACTATCACATGACCCCTTTTTACACTACAGGTATTAGTATCACATGTTCATACGCTTACAAACTAACAAGAATCAGAAATATTAAAACAATACAATGTATCATCAATAACATACTAAGGTCAATATTATATATATAAATTAAAAAAACATATTTTTCCAGCATTTTTATGTAATGCAGTGATTTGTATATCAAAAGCATGACTAAGATGAATATTATGGAAAAAGAATTGCAAACAGAAAATATTGCATTTGAAAGTGAAAATTGAGTACATGCATAATAAATATAACATCAAGAAAGCATTGACAATCCAAGAGGAACTGTTAAGAACTGTAGGAGGGGTGCATGAGGACTGTAGACTTCAGTATACCTCTACTCGACCTGTCGCATCCTTTCTTGTTCTTACTGATTAACACAAAGACCCATCCCATACTTTCTTGTTCTTACTGATTAACACAAAGACCCGTCCCATCCTGTCTTGTTCTTACTGATTAACACAAAGACCCATCCCATTCTTTCTTGTTCTTACTGATTAACACAAAGACCCATCCCATTCTTTCTTGTTCTTACTGATTAACACAAAAAGCCATCGCATACTTTCTTGTTCTTACTGATTAACACAAAGACCCATCCCTTCCTTTCTCGTTCTTACTGATTAACTCAAAGACCCGTCCCATCCTTCCTTGTTCTTACTGATTAACACAAAGACCCATCCCTTCCTTTCTCGTTCTTACTGATTAACTCAAAGACCCGTCCCATCCTTCCTTGTTCTTACTGATTAACACAAAGACCCGGCCCTTCCTTTCTTGTTCTTACTGATTAACGCAAAGACCCGTCCCTTCCTTTCTTGTTCTTACTGATTAACACAAAGACCCATCCCTTCCTTTCTTGTTCTTACTGATTAACTCAAAGACCCGTCCCATCCTTTCTTGTTCTTACTGATTAACACAAAGAGGTCCTACACAACACTCCACCACATATTACAAAGGGAGACCTTCATTCACATTGCCACAAATTGCACAGGGAGATGGCTGTATATTGACACAGGACTCACATAGTAGACTGAAACAATGGAGATTTTAAGGAGCAACATTGTAAATACAGCTAAGAGTGATTCAGGGTAACACTATTATATCACACACTGGTGGAAACAATCTTTCTGATTCAGCACACCACAGGTGTGGAATTGTCCATAGTCACACAATCCCTCTCATGTAGCCTGGATAGCCCACCTCTGCTTTGACTAGATGAGAAATTCCTTTAATGACCTCCATAAATTATCCTAATCTGGTTTGATAAGTCAGATTTTTTGTCTATTCCTCCTTCTTCTGTTCCCTTCGTTCCACATCCGACTGATCATCTTCTGCAGGAGTTGTCTCCCTAACATTGGCCACACTGTCTGCATCAGCCTGTACAGGGGTCATGACCTCTCCATCCTCCTGTGACTTGGTTTCTACAGCACTGTGGTTTGTGTTCTGTTCTGATGTAGCCTCGCCAGCATCATTATAATTACCCTCCTGTTGGCCGTCTGCTCTGATCTGTCTGTCCTCTCCATCACCATGGTTACTGTTCTGTTGACCATTTGTTCTGGTCTGTTTGTCCTCGTGGTCATCCTGGTGATCTGTACTAATCCCCTTACCAGCCTGTTTGGCCAGAACACGCAGGGGTTGTTGAGGTTGGGTGGGAGTTGTCTGCCCTTCGTTAGATTTTGGCAGGTTGAGTGAGGATGCTGATGGTGAGGAGGATAGATGATTGGTGGGAGAAGACGACCTGAGGGACGACACCTGTTTGATGACCACCGCTGGCCCCCCGTGGTAGATGCCTAGTAGGAACTGCCACATATCCTCTGACAGCTGACCGTAGTCCGAGTTGTGTCTTACTATAAGCTGACCATTTCTCATCATGGAGATTGCTTTGTTGTCTACTGAACCAGGTGGGGCTGAAATTGCAAGATCAGAGGTTATTTGGAATGCAACAAAACTTCAAACTTATCTTTAAGTTAACTCTGTCTTCTCTACGTTCTAAGAACAGGCATCGTGCAACGTATTATGGATTAATTGATATTGACCAAACCAGGTCAGTAAATGTAAACCAAGCAAAGGCAAACGTAAACAAACACAGCTTCAATAGATATCATCAAAGGACTTGACAACAAACACAGCTTCAATAGATATCATCAAAGGACTTGACAACAAACAACAAACAACTTCAAGGAGTATGGAAACTGCCTTTTTTTTATATACAAGCAACTTTTCAATACAGATTTCTTCATTCCCCTTGCTAGGTTTGGTGTAGACATACTGTCCAAAAGGATGGAATTTCCCAAGCAGACGTTATAGTACTAAAGATGCATGAATTGTGGAGGCTAGCAAACACAGCTATAGGCATTAAATAGCAAAAACTAGATCTGCACACCAAATTTTGGTTGTACATCAACCATTTTAGGGGTTATCGTATGGAAACAGGTCAATGCAACCAATCAGAGTAGGGTAGTCTCATTAAATGTGTAAATATACATACACCGGTAATATGACATTTGTTAATATGAGTATCTATAAATTGAACCATTTTTGCTGAGAAACAAAGCATGACAGACAATCACACCCAAATTAATATCCTGTTTCCTCTAAAAGAAGGGGATAGCATGAAATCTACAAAACACAAACGTAACCACCAATGATATGTCTGGTGGGGTACTCCAAACCCAGTACTCACTTGATGTGCGCTTGCGGACAAAATTCTCCCACTCCTTGAACCAAGTCATACTGATGGCATATATGATATGAGGATTGTCCTCATCCTTAAACTTCTCATTGAGCTGAAATGCACCAGATTACATAATAAATTGTGTATTAAGTGGTAAATTTTCATTCACTTTCCATCGTTAATGTAAGTATAAGTAATAAGTAAATTATAAAATACTCTTCAACAATAAAACTTTGGAATATGAAATAATGAGTTCTTTGGAGTGAGAAAATATGTGAAATGTCACACTTACTGCAATAAACTGTTCAAGTTCAGTTTTCTGTCGGAATATCAAATTGTCCAGATCTGTCTGACAGGTGGAGCAGGCGTAAAGATGATTACATACTGGCCCACCGCTGAACCTGTCCAAAGAATAGACCCACAACATCTTAAAAGTGATAAATGGTGGTTACATATCATGTCACCTCCATAACCAACAATACTGTATACAAATTCCTACTCCTTATATAAACTTATCCTATTGACATCCAATATCCTAAAAGCTCTCTGACCATGTTCCTTCCCCTTACACCCTCTCTCGTGACCAGGTCTCTTCCCTCTACACCCTCTCTCCTGTCCTTCCCCTTACACCCTCTCTCATGACCAGGTCACTACCCCTTACACCCTCTCTCGTGACCAATTCCCTTCCCTCCCCCGACACCCTCTCTCCAGACAAGGTCACTACACCAAACACTCTCTCCAGACAAGGTCACTACACCAAACACTCTCTCCAGACAAGGTCACTACACCAAACACTCTTTCCTGGCCAGGTCCCTACACCGAACACTCTTTCCTGACCAGGTCCCTACCCCCAACACTCTCTCTTCCAACCAGGTCCCTTTTCTCTAAAACCACTCTCCAAATCAACATTGATCAGGTCCCTTTCCTCTACCCCCTCTCACCCAATTAACACTGATCAGGTCCCTTTCCTCTACACCCTCTCTCCAAATCAACACTGATCAGGTCCCTTTTCTCTAAAACCTCTCTCCAAATCAACACTGATCAGGTCCCTTTCCTCTACACCCTCTCTCATAATCAACACTGATCAGATCCCTTTCCTCTACACCCTCTCTCATAATCAACACTGATCTGGTCCCTTTCCTCTACACCCTCTCTCATAATCAACACTGATCAGGTCCCTTTCCTCTACACCCTCTCTCCTAGTCAACACTGATCAGGTCCCTTTTCTCTACACCCTCTCTCCTAGTCAACACTGATCAGTTCCCTTTCCTCTACACCCTCTCTCCTAATCAACACTGATCAGGTCCCTTTCCTCTACAACCTCTCTCCTAGTCAACACTGATCAGGTCCCTTTTCTCTACACCCTCTCTCCTAATCAACACTGATCAGATAGGTCCCTTTCCTCTACACCCTCTCTCCTAATCAACACTGATCAGGGCCTGTACTCATGAAACCGTTCTCATGCTCAATCATCGATATTGTGCTCAAACCAAATTTCGTCTTATTTACTTGAATCATGTCAAACGATCAAAAAGTCAAATGTCAAGTTTAAAAACAGTATTTGGGTTTAAGTCTCTTCAAAGTTTTTCAAATCATTGACAAAATACGATTTTATTAACAAGAGGCACATAGGCCTTAACGGTCACCTGACATCTGATTCAAATTAGGACTGTCATCCAGGGGCCAATTCATACTTTTCGTCGGTCCGAGTGACCTTGCTGCATCGTCCATTAACTTTTCCTTGTGAACACAATAACTTCAGTAAATATGAACCGATTTTGATGAAACTTTGTATGGAGCTTTGTATCAATGAGATCTTGGATGAGTTTGAATACCGGACCAATTTGACCATAACTTCCATAGTTATTCCCCTTGGTAATTCTATTATTGTTGGACCCTGTGAACACGATAACTGAAATAAATTGGTGTGCCTCCAATTTTGACCCAAGGGGTCTGTTTTGAACAAACTTGGTAACAGTATGTCTTCTGTTCTTGGTTAAAAGAAACAAGTAAAAGCGTAAATCAATGATTTATTAAATAAGGCACAAAATTTTAATAGCATCTTGTTAGTAGCAAATATGTGTCATTAATGAAACAAGAGGCCCAAGAGGGCCTGTATCGCTCACCTGAATATTTAAGCAGTCATAGCAAAATATTCTCATTAAATATTATATTGCACTAAAAATATTTCCCTCGCAAACTTTGTTGGCTCCATCTGTTGAAACTACCAGCAAAATATTATTACAAGATTCTACACTTTTTTATTCTTCAGAAGTTGCTTGACATATTTTTCCCTGTGACCTTGCAAGTAGGTCAATGTCATTTTCCTTCTCAAATTGGTAAACTCTATTCCAAAAGCTTCCTCAAACTTTGTTGGGCTCTATCCCAGGAAGCCACCAGCCAAATATAAAGAGTCTATACCTTTCAGTTCTTCAGAAGAAGTCATTTGAAGCTTTTGACACATTTGACCCCTGTGACCTTGAAAGTAGGTCAAGGTAATTTTTGTTCTCAAACTTTGTTGGGCTCCATCCCAGGAACCAATCAGTCAAATATGAAGATTCTATACCTTTTAGTTCTTCAGAAGAAGTCGTTTGAAGTGTTTGACATATTTGACCCCTGTGACCTTTAAAGTAGGTCAAGGTCATTTTCGTTCTCAATCTTTGTAGGGCTCCTACCAACAAAGCTTTCAGCCAAATATCATGACTCTATGCCTGTCCTGTCCATTCTTCGGAAGAAGTTGTTTAAAGGAAAAGTTGACGGACGAGGACGGACGAACGGACGGACGGACGACGGACGCCGCACCACGACATAAGCTCACTTGCCCTTCGGGCAGGTGAGCTAAAAAAAAGGTGTACCACATGAATTTACATCTATTCTTGTGTAATGTCAATCAACATTACGTCCAGTTTAGAAGTGAAATTCTAAAGACTTTAGAAGATTTCTAAAGACCCCGACCCCCCTGCTCGATTAAATTTACTTTGTTCATTGATCTTCACAATTATGCAAAGCAACACGACACTAAATTCCCTT